ACGGGCCTTATAGACAGTGGGAGCGGACGAGCCGTGGCCCTTAACTACTACTGCGAGCGGTTGCCACACTTTCTGTGAGCTAGCTAGCCGAGAGCCTTTTACAGCAAACTAACGGTCTTTGACAAATCAAGGATCTCTGCTCGCTTAGTGTAAATATTATTACATCAAAGAGTGCGGGTAGGTGGCATTACGGCTGCCCCAAAGTCTTCAATTACTGGAAATTCGCCGCTTGTGCGCTCTCAGAGTCTGAAATTTGAAGGATGTGTGAGTTTTTGGCACGTAGTTTTTAGCTGCTTCTGCTGCAATGGTGAGATTAAAATGAACCCTACTGCAATATAAGTTACCTTGAGAAGCTACCTCAAGGTAGAATTTACCTCAAGGTATAATTTCGTATTCATCAAAATTTGTCTCTCAAGGTTAAAATTACCTGTGCCAGCATGATAAACACTAACTTTTTTTCAGAGAAGAGCATGGCGCACTTGCGGTGAATTGCTTTGTTAATATCCGTATAATATTCAAGCAAGGATAATTATGTCTTCAAAGTGTGAAAGGCTACAGTTGGTGAATTGGACAGGATAGGGTCCACATGTTCAACAATTCTAGGTCTTAAGACTCTATCCGCGAAAATATCTGCTTCTAACAATAAGTGCGATTTACAAAATTCTCTGCTGCGATGCCTACCTGATGCCTTTCAGTGAAATTTGAGTCGACTAACTAAACAAGGCTGAAGAATTGCGTTTTACAAACGTCAACACTGGCTTTTTTGGATTAGAGCTTGCAAAGCGATTGTTTTTGGGTTATGCAATTTTCAGCTTGTAATTTCAGTATGCTATGCTCGAAATGCTGTTGGAGCAAATAAAGGGTGTGTTTAACTTTCTCTGGTTTAAAACATTTTTCACAGGAGTTTTGAAACACTCACAACATATTAACAGGATGAAAGAGAAGTGTAGTACTAATTTCTTTACATTTCTATAACTCGAGTTAATCTCAATGAAATTGAACAAAATTGCTGCAATGGGTTCAGTTTTGTCACTTCACTGTTCGTGTGAGAATACATCCTCTAAAACCTTGTAGATTTAAAAAGATATCACTCCTGGGCCGGTAGTAATCGCCCCGACCTGGCGGCAGGTCTCGTCGGCAGGTTGCTGGCACCTTTCCGCGAGGTGGCCAGAAACTAAGAACCGAAATTTGGGCCGTCCCAGGCCTTTTTTCAAAAAATTTTCTCGATAAAGTTGCCGCCTCGACTCTGTAGAAAAGTTCATAAAAATCTGCGGCTCCAGAACTCCTCCTTTAGTAAAATATCTGGAATTCCAGGAGGAGCTGCCGGCAACTTCGCGAGGTCAGTTGCCGGCAACCTGCCGGCAAGTTGGCGGAATCCGCGAGATGGCATCTGCCGGCAGGTCAGAGAGCACGGGAAATAGCGTGCTCTTTTGAGTGAGGGAGCTGCCGGCATCTCGACGTGCCCCTACCACGTCGAGGTGGTGGCACCTTTGCCGACGGCGTCTGCGAGTTTGCGAATTGCGGCGATATCACACAATTCACGTCAGGCGAAAAAATCAAAAATTCTACTTTTCATCAAAAAAACTATCATTTTTCTCATTATATGAGTTTTTCTTTTTAAAACGACGATTTTCTCATAGAGAAAAAATCCAGTAATGCCTTAGAATCATAAAGAACATCATCTTTTTTGGCAATCCCTTATAAATCTCGTTTGCACTGATTTCGCCCCTCTCTCGCTCATATCAATCAGCTGTTCTTTCAGGTCAAAGTCTCTCACGCAACGTATCGATCCCTCTTACAGACAGCCATTTACCAGCGCGTTCCTCCTATTGCTGGTGCAAAGGACAATTGCTGATCGAATGGTCGAATGGTTAACGTGATGGCAGTTCAAGTTAACGCACATAGGTTCGACCGTGGGCGAGGTAGCAATTTTGCGGCTGTCTGCGTCGTCAAAATTCAATGTGCGAAATGATTGCGTGCTAAGGTTACGTAAGATTATCAACCTACAATCACTCCGCGAGCTGCCGGCGGAATTGGCATCTTTCCGCGATGTGTGCCAACTTGCCGGCATCTATGATGCCACCAGGTAGGGTAGATTACTACCGGCCCTGACCTTGCCTTTTGCTAGTGTAAAAGTTTCTATTGTGAATGTACCTTGAGGTGAAGGTATCGAGTTTGATGAATACGGATTTATCGCTGATAAGGATACCTTGAGGTAGAATTCACCTCAAGGTATCATCCATTCCACATATAATCATTTTTAAAGTTGATTTGACCTTGATCATTTACCTCAAGATCAGTGGCGTACCGAAGGGGGAGGGGAGGCGGGGGGGGGGGGGGAGAGGCGGGAGGAGGGAGAGGCGAGGGCCCCCCCCCCCCGAGAACGGGTCGCGAAATTTTTGAAAGTTGCTTACATGAGTTATAAAAATGTGCAAGCGACTTGTTTATTTTTGTAAACCATTAAAATAATTTTTGAAATCTTTTAAAAATGCAAAATAGCCTTATAAAAAAATTTTTCGGGCCCCTTAAATTCTTTTCGGAATGCGTGGCTAACCCCACGCGCCTTCATTTAAAAAGTTTTTTTGCCGCCCCCCCCCCCCCCGAGCCGAAATCCTGGGTACGCCACTGCTCAAGATACATTGATGAATACGGGTTTTGAGTGATAATTCCTACCTCAGGGCTCATTTTACCTCAAGGTAGCAATGATGAACACGGCCACAGAATTAGTGGTTTCAGCAATAAAAGAATAATAACTTTTTATTACATTTGTATACTTGTCATGTGTCTAAGGATTTTTTCTTCAAACACTCCTAGAAAATGCAAGGTTTCTGCTCTTGTCTGTTTTAAAACAAGCGAATTCCTTAGAGCCGGAGGAGTTCTCGAATTTCTAAAATATCGTAGAGTATAAGTAAATTAGAAGTATGGCATAAGTAAAATTTCCCTCCCTACAAACTTTCCAAGCTCATTTTTTTCCACGGAAATAAAGAAGCATTACAGTAGTCTACATAGCGCTATTAGAATAAATAGGCGTATTTTGATTGGAAACGAGATTTGCTGGCGCTGATTTGAGGCTATATGTCTACTGCGGTCAGGCTAAATGCATAATTTGCGCTAAATCCTGACAAACGAGCCATCGAGACGAACGCAAAGCATCAGGCGCATCTTCAAGCATTGGCAATATGTATGGATGACATGTAAATTAGAAGATGCTCGAATGATGCGGTGCATTATTTAAGAGAAAGAGAAAGTCAAAACTATTTCCTTGTATGAAAAAAGAAATCTTCTTGATAATGGGTCGAAAAATGGGAAGAAATACCTAAATTTTAAAGGAGTCTTCGACTTTACGTTATCTGATTCAAAAAATTCTATTGCCATTTCCAAATCCTACCAACTCCATTTTTTTTCATTCATATGGAACGAAACAATAAATTCGAAACACAAATTCTTTCCCTTCTGAACAACTCGAATTTCTTATGTATGTCACCCCTTTCTCCCCTCACGATCTCAAGAATTATTGGTCCCTAGAGGCGGCTGACATTCCCAATCAGCTTCAAGGGCATTCATGAAATGATTTCCTCGCGCAAAAACGCGAACATGCTTATTTCATTACGTATCTGGGTTTACGAGTGCTAAAGTGAAGACAATGAAGTTTTGGGTGATTAGTCACTGAACTGGTGCTCGTTTACTCGCTAAACTGGGAGTGTGGAAATAGATCATCGTGCTCATTTGAGAGTGCCGAGAGGTTTCGAGGCTGGAAAAACGAAGAAGAAAAATGAAAATCCAAAAACATGTTTCATCTAGGATCTCGAGGTATATCCATTTTATATCAAAGTCAAGGTCAAAGAGAAGAAAGTTTAATTTTCAAGTAGAAAAGATTTGTCTTCCGGGCAATTTTATAGTCGTTCTGGCTGACAAAGTGCATTCTTCATTGGTCCTAATTTTTCCTGACAATGTCTCCTTTTGCAAGACTTTACTGCACAAGAATCTTTACTAAATTAGACCCGAGAAATTAATTGCTATTTTTGCTTAGATTTCATTTTTTTCTTTTTGTTTTTGGAAACAAAAGAAGTTAAACTTCTGAGTCCTGAAATAACAACTTTTTCAAACTGGAGCAGACAAAAATAAGAATCAGTTGAGCATTTGTGCCAGTCCATAGAAGTGCAGTTTTGTAAGTTTGAGTGAGACTAAAGAAGGCCAGTTGTGAAGATTCTTGCATTATTTCCAACTTCACTTCTGCCATTTGTGCTATTTTAGACAACCATCTCGTTTACACAGCTTTTTAATTTCAGCTTCTTCATACACAGAGATACAACCACGTTGACAGGAAATTAAGAAAGCACCATCATCGCAGCTTTTAATTAAATTATTTTTGGATATCGCAGACATTATTAAAAGCAAAAAAAGTGATTTTCAAAATAGCATCGGATCGTTGACTTAGGAGTACAAAGTCTTTTTGGTTTTGATTCACATAATGTTTAAGACCGAACAGACAATATAATTTTTGCAATCAAAAATACCTTCTATGTCTTCTTCCGCAAAGATTCTCGTAGTTGGCTGCGAGTGTAAAAAATATTGGATTGCTACACAGCAATAATAAAAAAGATGAGGCCCTTAACGAAGGTTTTGAGAGAGCTTAGAGCGATTCCAGAACTCCTTAGGTCATAGTCTTTCTCACATCATTACAAGTTTTTTGAATTTTTGATGGGAGGAGAGTTCTTCATATAACACAAATTGGGAAAAAGCTTTTTCTCCATATGTGTTCATACAAATTTTCAAGTTTTCCACTGAACCACATTTTCTTCCAATTTTTTCAGCCACTCTCCTCCCCCTTTCCACCGGATGCTCACAACGCAACACCCAAACACGCGCACATAACTCGTGGATATCGATAAGCGGCGTCTCATCTTCTCGGCCACACACAGACAGCAGATAAGGGTCGGGGACGGTGAGAGGCAAATGTTTGTAGTTGGTGATCGTAAATTGCGACGGAAGTGCCGCACCTGCGGTTGTTGCGAATAAAGACATGCATCGGTCGTAAACGGCGACGAATCCGTGTGATAATGAAGCGCTGCGAGCAAGGACGTACACCACACACTTTGGGAGATAATTGCTCATGTTTCTGACATCGGCCATGCTGATACTTCGGTTTTATGTCAGAAATGGAAGTGGTAACAGGGAAAACGGAATAGCCTTCATTTGATTTCCAGGTCTTATTTTTTTAAGCATTTTGTCGTATTTTTTGATCCGAGTCTTACGGGAATGCTATGGTCACGCAAATTTGAAACAGCTTGACTTTCGCTGAGTTCATCCTTAGCAGTCTGGACATTTTCCGGAGAGCGTGAACACCGTTATCGACCATAAAGTGCATCCTCTGACTAAAAAAAAATAAATTCAATGAAAAGCAATAAGATTTTGAATTTTTAAGTTGATGTTTCTTGCAAAGTCATTGCAAAAAAGCACCGCATAATCATTTCTTTTTTCTTTCCTGATGGGAATGATGATCGTACAGAAAAGTCTCAGCGAAAATTTGACGATGATTTCGCATATTTAAAAACTTTAGCCAGACAGCAACGATTCAATCTTTTCTCCTCCCCCTGTTTGGAAATTTCTACTCTACCATGCTTAAAGGTAAATTTTCAGAAATAAGTGTATCGGTGATTGGATACGATGACAATTAAATGAGTTTTTCTACGGAACAAGCTATTTGTTTTCCTAAATCATCTATCAAACAACCGGGATTTCAGCTTCTCATCGTCACCTTTTTCGATGAAATGGCTAATAATCTCAGCTTCACACAGCAAGATATGAAATTCATATATTCTTCTGTGATAAGGTGAAATGGTTCTGGAGAAAATAATTCTTCTTGACGAACTTCCTGATATATACATATTGATTTTTATACTATTTCAATTTAGAAAAGTGCTAGCCTTTGTGCAGTGTAGCTCTAATTTGTGAATTTAATAATTCCCTTACTTCTTGAGAAAGAAAATTTCAGCACAGTTTCAATAAACATCAGGTCACAGCACATTCCGCACAGAGCTAATTCCATAAACAGGAAATCATTCGAAAATTGTCTCTGATCATAACTTTAAGAAAACGCAAAGTCGTTAACCCTTGGAGAAAAAAAACCGCTTGTTCCCCGCTACTCTCGTCGCCTGCTCCCTCCGCGCGTGTCACACTCTTGCGCGTCAATTATCTGCAATGAGTCCGGTGCTGATTGGTCTAAGCGAGAAGAGGCGTGACGCGCTACCGTATCGCCGCGCAGCGGCTCGTCACCGACAACTAAGTGGGTGCGCCTTCTTTCACGGCCTTCAACCCTCTTCACTCTGTCAATCCGTACCAGAGACACATCCGTCCGGTTATACACAGCAGCACTCACAATGCAATCATTTGCCATTGATTCGCTTATCGGTGATAAGGTAACTGGCTAGAATTTTTCATTTTTTAAGATTTTTCCGGAAAATGAAGCAATTGAATTCCAAAATTTCGCCATGATTTTGACGAAACTCTTCATCTGTGTGCATCCTTACATTTTTACTTGTTTTTATCATGGCACTTTGGATTTTTTTCTTACAATCAAATCTATGTTACAAAGCCGTCTTTGCCAAAAAAAAATTTTGTGCTTGCATAGAATTCTATCTGCAGATAAAGCCTCACATATGATAACTCCAGCAATCCTAAACTTTTTCACTTTTCTTTGCCCTTAAGTCTTCTCACAGTTCACTTGAGGCAACAAAGAATTTCTTACTCTTTTGCAAGGCGAAAAAATGTTTCAAATTCCCTTTTTTGTTTGGATTTTGCCACTTTTTGTCAAAGGACCCCCGAATTCGAATCTCCTTTTTTCTAGGTTTCATCCTCCTCCACATCACAAACCCCTCTAGCCAGCTCGGACGAAGATTGTCCACAACGTGAACTTCGACTTCCACCCAGCAGCTCTCGACATCATCCTTACGCTAACCCTGGTAAGCTTATTCTTTATTTGACTTCTTGCTGAAGGCGATCCACCAAAACCGGTACTTCTTCTTGCAAGAACTATAAGCAGAGGCATAACATCCGCATAATGATAGGCTTCTCAACACAAGCACTTGAGCTAATCAAGATTAGGGCAAGAGACTGTTTCTGTCGCTGGCGCCAAGGCAACAGATCAACGGATTTGCATAATTTCCTTCTGCTCGTCATAAGTATGTAACTGATCATTGACGGCTGGTTAATATCACAATGAAATAGGCAACATCATGCCAAAGAGCCGTTTATCTCAGGATATCTCCCTTCTTCAGAAAATTTGCACATTTTTGAGATGAGCACGCCTTTTTGGACAATCTGAAACAAAATGTGAAAGCGATTCCTTAGTTCATATTCCTGCCAGCACAGCGAGTCTTTAACATATTGAAGCTCTAAATTTTGATCTCAAGTCCTATGTTAGGTAAACACCTTTTGCAGAAATGCTGGAACCTGTGCTATCCTATTTACCGAAGACCAAGAATTATGTTTCCGCAAATCTTGTGAATAACAGCCTTTGGGCTAATAAAATTAACGAAAAAAATGACGAGATAGGAGGTAAAGCAAAAAAAAATGCGTTATAAGCTCCATGAACAGTCTAGAAGGAGGAACATGAAACATTGTAGAGCCTTTTCGTTTTTTGTAAATGTTGATTTAATAACTGACAATTAATTCCTTTGATCAACCTCAGTTTGACTTAAGAGTTTGGCTATCCACAGCCAAATATGAAGGAACTCCAGTTATTTCAGAACCGTTAGCCAAGCTTTAGTCACAGTGAAGTTGACTTTTTGTGAACTCAATTATCCTAGAATGAAAGTTCAATTCGGTTGAAGTGCATACAACTACAATTATTTCATTCTCTTATTCTTCTTATTTCTGGCATCTACTCTTTTTCTTCGCTCTAGAAAATACCGTGAAACTGCAGTACATTTCTCCATACTATAACTCAAATCAGCGCCTTCTTACAATCACATCAATCAATACCCATCAAAACAATACAAAACCACCTAAACCATTCAATCTCTATTCACAATGCTACAAATGCTTGCAAATGTCTCCAACGCTTCCATCACTTCCTTTGTCGTGCCTCTCCTCCTCAAACTCGAACTCCCTTTCTCCCTCTTCTCAAGACGCTTGTCGTACTGACAAACGATCGTGTATAGAGTGCAGTGTCAGAGAGCTAATTACTGTGCTTCGTTTCGCATACATTATGGACGGGGCCCTGCGTTCTCGCCCATCACCAAACGACATACGTTGATTAATGAGCTAATCAACACAGATTTACATGCACTTAATTGTCTCCAGCTCCTGACAAAAACGCGCATTGCGCGCCTGCTACCTCATCTGTTACCTTTTGATACGACTGAGATTTGCTGTTGTATAAAGATGAGGTTTCTTATAGAGATCTATCCTAGTGAGGATATGATGCGTGGGAAATATTGCAATGTTTCGGATTATGGATAGTTTTAAAAACAAAAAATGTTCAAAAAGGTGATTGCGCTGTAGATTGCAACATTCATACAAAGCTAAGACGGAAACCATAAAATCGTCAGTAGAGAAATAAAGATTTTTTCACTTGTAAAATTTCAAATAATTTCACGGTAAATCACATTATTTGTCAACTACTGTCTACATATGCTAGTCTGAAGAAATACAAATTTGTTCCTGCGCGTGATTTTCACTTCCAAAAAACTTTTCAAAAAATTTTGAGTGATACTCGAGAATATGAAGATTTTTTATTATTTTTTCTTCGACGGTTTTGAAAAAAAAAGGTTCGAAGGCATTGGGATCTACTGAGTAGGGGAACGAACTCCGCCACTTGAACCGCCTCCGCGGACTGCTGGTACTGCAACGACATCCAACAATATTGCAAAAGGACCAGTTGCCAGCGAAGGCGGGCTCAAACTGGCTGAGTTCGTTCCCCCACCCGGATCTATTTTTCGAAAAAAGATTCCAACGAATTGTTTAAATTTACAAACTGTGACTTCGTTTTAAACGGGTCGAAGATATTTCACTTTTAAATTCATTTTGAAAAGAAAAACATGGTGAAGGAAAAAAATCCCAAATCTAGCTTGCAATTTTCTTACTTTGCATTATTCCAAATATTTGTTCAAAGTCTTTTCGTGATTTATTGTTCCATGCTTCTTATGACCAACCATTTAACGCACTTATATACTTCTTGGCATCAGCGGGAAGCGTTCGAAAGCCGTCGAGATTACGTTAGCGATCAATTTAGCCTTATTAAACCAAAACTCCTGCGCGGATCGGTAATTCCATCTAAACTGACCGCAGACACTAAGCTCAAAAACCAACTCTCTCTCCTTATCACACGAATTATACGGTTCTGTATTATGTACAGAAAAACTCGATACTGAGCCACATTTCCCATCGTGTCGCGCGGCGATTTTCCCCTCATAAAACTGATCTCACAAAACGCAGCACATCTGATCGCGCGATTATGTTGTAAACGGCGTGTCGAAGTTTGTGTTGCGCTGGGATTACGGTAATCGACCGCGCACAGGTTGAATCGCGCAGCGATGCGATTGTCGTGACCATTGAGCGCGCGGTAAGTCTTTTTACTCGGAATGTGTTGTAAATGCGAAACCGCGCGATCGTAAAAATGTCGCACCGCGCGAGCCGCGCCGCCGCTTCCACCGCCCATCGTTGATGCAATGTGGAACGCGCAAAAAAAACTTGTTCTCTAGTTAGTCGGACGATTATATGACAGAGGCCCCGCGAGATGCGCATGAAGAGCGGCGCGCAATAATTGCTCGCTGATGATACGGTAGCTATGACACACTTTTTTGTGCGAGCAAAATTTGATCTTTCCTGTCAGACTTTTTTTCCTGAACAATAACACTCACATTTATATCATTATAGCAATAAAGGGCTACTGATTACCGTAGCCATAATATGGCACGCGTTAGTTCCCCCTACAAACCCAGGGTGAAAACAGATGCTGTACCTGACAAAGCCTCACCGCGGTGTTTAGTGCCGCTCAGTGCTGTTTTATTACAGTACGATGGCACAAAACTTAGCGAAAGGAAAACATTGGGAGTGGAACGCTATCCACAAAAAGAAAGACAATGGCTTGCATAGTAGTGAACTAGGGGTCCTGAGACGATTTCAAAAAGCTTTTGCGGAGACAAATTCAAACTCTAGATTTGCCTCATTCCAAGCTATTAACTACTTCATTGATGAAATAATAATGGTTCTATCGTTTGAGGCCTCACACCATTCTTTGAGAATGGGTCGAATTCCTAACCCATAAACATCCGGAAAACTTTGTGGAGTTTATCACTTACACTTTTGAGAAATAACCCATTCTCTGTATAAGGTCACATTAGAACCTTTACTGTACTTTTGTTTAAATCTAATTTTCTAAATTTTCTTCTCGATCTTTCTAGAAATCAACTGACTCGTGACACAATTCTTGATTCTTCTAACTTTTTCACCTTTTCCATAAACTGTGATAATGAAAATAAGTTGCAAAAACTATCGCTTGCATGTTACCAATCCACAGTTACATAATTCAATACGTTCTAATCTATCCAGAATGAATGGTTTCTTTTGTGCTAAGTTTTAGAAAGCTGCTTAGCCGCTACCAACTCTCTGTTCTTTTTCATAAATAATTTGAAAATTGCTTAATATTCTTCGTCAATCCTAAAATGTGTAAAACTAATGCACCAGATGAGAGCAATCATGAAAAATGAATTTGGAACTGCAAAGCCGAAAGTCTTGTAAAGAATCTGAGACTAGTCAGACATAATAACTGGAAACGCTTTGCACTTACGAGTTCAACAAGTTTCCCCGTGTTTTACTGCTCAAAATCAAAGGATGAACAAGATTTAGCTTGTTAAACAAGATGACACAGCGTATGGAGCGTGTGGAGTCCCAGAAGAGGTTGCGAATTGCGAGAATCTGTGCAATTGCACATATCATCATTCTACTAAATACGGGGCCAAACATGATATCTCCGTTTTTTCAAAAGGCTTTCAATCTTTTTAGGAAGTTTTGTTTCAGCGTTGGTCTTCATGAGGGCTGTGAGATCTAAGTGAAATGCGTGCGAAGGAGTGTTTTGTTGTTTCAAATAAGTAATTAGCTGCTTAACTTCTTTGAGCGTTCTCCACACTTTTCGGTTGTGTAATTCTTCGAAAATCAAGAGTTGGGTACTTCATTCAAAAAATTGTTTTTGTGTTGATCTTTACAAGGAATGTTCCTTGAAATTGTGGCAAGAGTTCACAGCTTTGAGAAGACGATAGTTCGTCTCTACACTTTTCAAACGATATAATGTTTCTACAAAATAGAGTTTGGAAGCTTCATGGGTATTGGCTATTTATTGAGTCGGTAGCATTCTTGGTCCACAAACTGTCTCTTGTTCTTAATGATTCATTCTATGACTAGGAGATGCGAGACCGCTTTGCACACATTGTCTGATCAAGCTAATCTGTACTTAGCAGGTTTATACTTGTTAATTATCTCGTCCAGGTTTACTCACTCCTTGGAAACATGGAAGAACAAACTCAAACTTGTTAAAACAATGTCCGCAATGCGGTCTTGCGTCTGCTAGTCATAGAATAGATGATATTTCCATAAAATTTATGAACATCTACCGTACCCCTAAATGCTCGTGTTTTTCCACGTCTAGCCACTAATCGTTCAATAATGCTGTGTGCAATTTAATTGGCGCATTTCATAGCGCGTTCCGTGTGCTGTGCACACGCTGTCATGGATAATTTCTGCGTTAATTACTCACAAACTGGTAATAAGAAGTAATTGAGACACACAGACTCTCTCTCGCGACTCGACATCGCGACCGTATACCTCGTAAATGCGGCGTATAACCGATACTCACGTAACGCGCCAGTGTTAATTGAACCCATTTTCTCGATTAAATGTTTTTGCGCCAGGGAGAATGCTCGGCTCTATGATCGCGAACGAGCTCAAGCGAGAATGAGCTCGAATGCAAAAACATTCGACAGCCAATAAGGCTGATGCGCTCTAAATGGAAACATTTTTTAGCAGACGCGGCTACCGTAATCCGCGTCCTTTAATAAGAAGTAATAAATGATCTCACATGATGTCACAGTAACCAAAATCTCCTATAATGAGTTGAAAATGATAGTCTTTCAGATCCCCGGGATGATAGCCAAATTCGACGCTACAGAACAGCATTTTCACGGGAGCAGATTGGTCGATTGGAGCGCGAATTTGCAAAGGAGAATTATGTGTCACGAAAAACGAGAGGTGAATTGGCTGCGGAGCTAAACCTTCCAGAAGGAACTATCAAGGTAAGGAATAGACTTCAAGATTTTGTACTCCAAAAAATGCCCCCCTCCCTCCTCTTCCTCCCCCCCCCCCATCAGTTGCACTTCCAGAAGAGGGTTGTATGTACATTCGGCAATACATTTTCTACCCACCACTGCCCTCTTCTTATTCCCTAAAGTCGCATTTGCTTTCCTTCGCGCAAAATTGTCCCCCCCCCCCCTCCACGCCTTGTTATTGACTTACCGTACCCCATTATCTATAATAAGCTACCGTAGTCTCGGGCGATGTGCTTGATGGCTCTCTAGATGTGTGTATATGGGCGTGTGAGATGGGGTGTCGGGGGGAAAACTCTTAAGGCGTAATTCATACGTCCCCCGGGGGAGACGGGGGATTTGACTGCATAAAGCTATATGAAGAGATGTGTTATGCTCGAGCCGGAGAGATGATTGATAGCAAGGCGCTTGGTGCCTTGAAAAGCCATCAGAGACATATATGTCCGAATAGAAATGTCGCTAAGTGCTTTACTAGTACGAAATTTGGGTCGTGAGAAGAATGCCTGCGACATGGTAGCAGACTTATCTCCAGCACAATTCAAATAATTCCACTACTTTTTTCAGGTATGGTTTCAAAATCGACGAATGAAGGATAAACGTCAAAAAGTCGGTGGAATTGCTTGGCCATTGATTCCACCACAACTTGCCTACCTTATGCACCCATTCGGTTACGATATGTGGGCAAAGTCTGCGTTTGCGTACCCACCCGGGTAAGAATATCTATTCTTCAAAAAATACTCATTGTTCCCATACCTCTCTCACGTTCCGAATTTTTATTAGAAATATCACCGCCAGTGTTAAATCATCAACGGGCTGTGACAGATTTACAACAACTTACCGACAATCGCTACTAGCATAGCGATAACAACAATACGCAACATGTCGGGGCTTTGACGCGTGCCGCGCTTAGCTCGGGTCATGTACGGGAATTTGTAACAGATGGGCATCAGGGTTTGATGATCCACATTTGAATTTATCTCTAGTTGAAAGTGTGCTTTGGGAAGTGAATGTGAATGGAAATCCAAATTGTCACTATTTTTTATTAAAAAAAGTTGCAAGGTCTGAAAAACTTTCGAAACTTTTGGCGATCGGGTGAAGGCCGGGTTTATTAGAATTTTGAAAATTTTAAATTACAGAAAGTAGATCGCACCCAAATGAAAGCCACCTTGCAAAAAATTAGATTAATGTATGATACAAATTTTACAACTTACTCTTGTCAAGATGGACCTTAACCTAACCAATGTCTTTATAAAAACTTGAATTTTCGAATTGTCTTATGTGTCGTTTTCTCGATGTTTTTGAGGGTGATAAACTTTTCTTTTGAGTAAATTTAGAGTCATGCCAATCGTTTGTAGCGTAAATATACGATTTTTTCGGAATGATGCAAAAAAACTTTGATATAAGTAAAAGTACTATGTATATAAATATTAGTTAGTCTTTGTTCACTTTTTCTATGTAGGTTGTAATTGCGTGTGAACAAAAATAATTCACGTTCAAAAACCAGTTCATAAGTCTACTGACTTCTCGTCAACGATTGTAAATTGCGGAACTGCTGTCTATTTTTGTGGGAAGCATAAACTCAGTAATTTGCTTTATAATACTTTCTGAGATGCCAGACAAAGCGGACTGCTAGCTAGACTTCTGTTAGTGAGACTAGCTTTATAAGTCAGAATTTTTTTGAGTTTTATTTAGAATAAAGAACCTTAGAAAATAAACACCAGATGGCTACTGGAATTATCAAGTCCATTGACCTATTCTCACCCTACGAGACTAAATTTTGTCTCCAGCAAAGTTGCTGTCAATCTGACCCACTGCTACATCGCATTCAACAGATGGTGACGACAATTTCCGACAGCTTCAATCTTTGCGGGTTTTTTTGTTTATTTGCCAGTCTGCAACAAAAACTCTCGGGATTTGTGCCCTACGCTCCCTTTTGCAGACATGAACAATTTCTTATTGCTGCTACGATTTCGAAGTCTGCGATAGTGCAATTCGCTCACTAGCTCATAGATCAACATGTACTAGTTACCGCTCTCTGATATTGTTAACTTCAGGCTCACAAACCTTCTACATTTGCTCTTTAGTGAAGGTTATTGAGTGTAATGCGAGCATTTATACATTTGTATACATTTATACATTAATACATTGATGTACATTTTCAGTTCAATGCTGCCACAACGGATGCCAACGATCCCATTTCCAATGCCAAATGAAATGTTGAAAACTCCAACTGAGGAGCCATGTGACGACGTGAAGCCAATTACAATCGCTACAGCTCTTGAGCTGACCACTCCCGGTGCACCGACAGAAACTTCATAATTAAGATAATTTTTTTTGCCATTTTTATTTTGTGAAATCCAGTCGCGGGCGTTTGTTCAAGTAATTTTAAAAGAGAATGATTATTGTCCTGTGGAGTGAGATGTTAACTTTTAAAATTTGTTTATTTCGATCCTGCTTCTCAATATGATTGTGAGAAGGCAGTTTCTTTTGGTTTAATATGAATGTAATGTATGTACTGGGGTTGAGAATCTCATTTTCTTTCCAGTGAATTATCTATAACTATTATACAGATGTTCTTCTTGTTCTATACGATACAATGTGCCATTAGCTTATCTGTGTTCCATCCTTTTTAGATATTCATACATGCATCTATGTGTTTATTGGTGTTCTCTTGTTCATCAGCAGTGCTTTTTGTTCTGGTTTTTTGCTGAGATGCTTCTGGGATAAATCAGTTAAAGTATTTAATCTTGTAAATTCCTATAATGGCAAATCCAAGCTCGCGGACGGTTTCTGAATATGATATCTCCTTAGATTAGAAATGGTTGCGGTTTCTCATGTGATTGAAGATTTTTACGAATCGTTTTCTCTCGAAAAGCGTGTTTTTGCTCCCTCAAAAGCCTATAAAATTTCAAATTAATTTGATGCTCTTGATTTTACAGCGATGATCAAAATGTGTTAAGAGGAATGATGCTTTTGTAGACTATTTGCGAGCGACTTCTATAGATCAGTAGCTCTGCTATATATTTAGCATAACATGGTATAACCCTTCACTTGCGCGTGGGTTGCATTGGTATGAATTAACATTGTTAGAATAGTTCATTTGAGCTGGTACTTGAGTGAAGAACTACAACTAATTAAGTGTACTTTAAAGTGCCAAGTAGCAAATATTCGATCGCTAATAGCCTTCCCTGTCATCGGCTTTTATCTCTGGGTAGCATTCTGTAGGGCTGGCTTCAACTTACATTCGCTTCAGTAGACGGATCACCCATATTTCTTCATTAACGCAGTATCATAGTAAGAACATTCAAGGAGATTATGGACGATCGAAAGTTAAAACTCAATAGGAGCAATAAAGAGTTGGGAAATTTGGTACCAGTTCAATTAGCGTTGCTGACTCTACTTATAAGCTTTGCGCTTCGTCGTGATCCTTGATTTAGAAGTTCTCCAATTATACCATGACAGCCCTTTTTCCATTTATAAAAAAATCTAATTCACTATCTTAGATGCACTACAAACATGTGCGAAGTCATGTGTCACAAAAAGTGGGTGTGTTTCAGCACACAAATTATCAATCCTTCGAAATTTCATAGACTGGCAGCTGATTTGCGATGATGGCATCAAACTGTAGGTTTTTGCCGTAATCTCACAGTAATCAAAATGAAGAATTATCCTTGTACCGTAATTCATAGTCGACGGCAGCCCTATGATAATCGGCTTATCAAGCTAGCCGAATTCTAATTTTAGAGCAAAACTTTTTTTTGTATAAAGACCTTATACTTTGAACTTAGCCTGGTAAGGCAAGTCCGCGATCTGTAAGACCTGATTTTTTCACATGAGTAGCTTGGAAAATATCCATTGCGAAATTTGGCAGTTCCATGTCATCTTCATCATACCTCACATGAAGATGAGCCTCGAAATTTCATTGCAGGACAACAAACATTGTCTGTAATGCGCAAGATTTTACTAACAATAAGACTGGTGTTCACCATCGTACCGCATGTTTTGTAATATATAAAAAGCAACTCCGGTAGCAAAATGGCTCAACTTGCATAATTTTCAAAAGTAAAAGAAATGTCGCAGTTAAAGATGTTCAAGGCTAATTGTAAACAGACAACCAAAAACTGCTGATTAGGTGCAATTTGCGTGAAATAGCAATGGTCTAAGAAGGAACGCAACAAGTAATATAGCAAAAATACAATATATCAAAAATATTTTCAACTTTGCGCTGGTAGCTCCATATACGGAGTAAGCTGTCAGTATAAGCGAGCTTATTTATTTATTTATTTATTTATTTATTTATTTATTAAATACATCGTAAACGATGCACCACCTCAAAAATACCTTATATCATACAAATTGATGTTGTTATTATGCTGATGCCAGAGATCATCCAATAAACTCTTGGAAGACGTCAATCTGACACTTGTGGCTCGAAATCAGTGCGATGTCAGTCGAGCTCAGTACATGTACGGTGATAAATGTGCCATGGCGTTAGCGGGCCTTTTATTATGCTTCATGAATAAATTTGCATTCGAACACGCTCGAACAACGCGCCGCTCACAATTCTCTAATTGGACGCTACGAGTTCGATAATAGGGGGGGGGGGGGGAACGCGAACTAAATAAACACTCTTGCCCGTGCTGGGCGCATTTCACCTGATAAAATGACTGTAAAAGTAAGAGTAAAGTAAAAGTAAAAGGGGGAGGGGTTTTAACTTTCAAAAAAGTGGATTGATGAGAAAGTGCTTGAATTGTTTCTGTGAATATACTATCTAATTGTGAGGTATCGCGTTCAAGTTTGAGCTTCTGCTTAATCGAAGTTTCTTTCTGCATTATTACTCCAAAGAATCAAATCTTGCTTGCATTTTCAAATCTGATGTCTCTTTTGTCAAAGGGGTAAATAAGTTGTGTGGGAGTTAGAACTATATATGAAAGATGCCTTGAGGCCTCAGAAACCGTAGTAATTTTTCTTTTAGCAGAATTCGTGAACGTTCGTCGAAATCTCACAGGCCGTTCAGGAAGTGAATTGGCGGATCTAAACCGCACTGATCAAAGAGCAGATCTCTCCTCAGATTTCAAATAATGATTAGACTATTGCCGTAAATCTGCGCGAACCGCTGCTTATTTGCTTATCTACACCGATGTTTAAAGACGGGATTTCGAGAGCGGAGTGCATACTGTGCAAATTGTCTTATTGTTACCCTATGAAACAGGGGTAGTACTTTCACAGATTTTCGATTTTTCTCATGTAAGATAGTTAAAACATGGGGGCTTTTAGAGTCTGGGCTCCACCGTACTCCATCAAATTTACCATTACATATGATTTATGGTACTCAAACAACAGTAGTAGCAATTCGGTCTTTTATTTGAAACATTATTCAACCTCGCAAAAGGCTTATGGGACAACACTAGATAGGTGAATATTCACGGAAGATTTCCTTTTATTTCCGAAGACAAGGTGATTTTTTTTTGCGTTTTTAGGGTGAGAAAAGTATCCCAAACCGCTCGCTGCATCTATATATAGTCGTCTTCCCCCCACTAGACACCTAGTGGACGAATTCGAATTTGAACTAGAGCACGTCAGCTGCGGCAGAGCGCGACACCGTCAAATGCATTTCAAGCTAATGCAGTTTTCTTTTATTGTCGTTTCATTGTGATTTTTTTGTTTTTATGATGATTGATTCAGAACTGAAGAGTTTTTTGTTGCTTAGCGATGTTTCGTACTGCTATGCTCGTTTCTTTACTATGTTTTTAGTAAAGGTTGGAAAAACGATGCACATGGAGAGTTTTTGACATGAGTGTTCAATGAAGCAACACTTCAAGACTTACCGAGAAAAATTTCACCAGCTTCTAAACCTCGTTTTTTTTTCGTGGTCAAAGAAACGAGCATAGCAGCACGACCCATCGCTCAAATAGAAGCAGCAATTTTACTGCGAACTGAAGGAATGTCAGCGTTCAATAATAACACTAACTGGAAATAAGCGGTAATGAGTAAATACTTTGAACTATTTTTATCAAATCTTTATAGTGCTGACTTCGTCTCGCTTCGCATATATGTAATACTTGGACCGACCATGTAAGGAGACATAAAAAAGTAATGCACATTGATAAAGTAGCTGGCTGCATCCAGATCTGCACGCGTGCCAACTCGTGCTAGCGCCGTGCCAACGCCTCAGGAAAGCAAAGCTTAGGGCTAAGCATACCTTCGATACATAGAGCCACGTACTCTGGTGACCTTCACTTTGAGCGTCATGATAGAACACAACCTTCACCTAGAGGGAAGTTATCCGGGGCGAAGCCCCGGATATCATGGTATAACTAATGACATATCCATAGAGGGAGAGATGTGAACGAGGTAAATATAGTAGTGACATCCAAAAGAAGCTCAAAAAACCGAAGGATTACGTTTTTATGGCCCTTTTTTGCCAAAAAGACTTTTATTAAAAATTCAATGAGGAACTGGAACAAAATTTCTCAATTAATCTTTCTCTGACTTCGATTGAGCGTTGGAAGTTCATGAAAGCCGCTGGAGTTCAATAGAAACGAGAAACTGCGCTCAAATATTGCGCAGAAAGTCGCTACTTAAATGCTGGTCTATCTCGTTATGGAGTGATTTTCAAGACCCGCGACGTTGTCAGTGCTCCTGGACGTCTCATGAGGATCACAACGATATATAATGTTACAGAGTTTCGTTATGATCCCGCGGAGATCAATGACCAGAGCCAAATGCCCCGCCGGCTCTGGTCTGTCTCCGCTGCTCGTCTGCGTCTCCGCGACTTGCGCGCTACCTCGCTACCCCAAAAGCGGGGCGCGGGGCATTTGGCTCTGGTACCCTTTTCTTCGTTGTTGAGAGCCCAATTCCGACAATCATATTAAAGCTCTTGATCTCTAGTTTCACGCTGACAACGTCGCAAGACTCCTTTTTATGATTTAAACGAGAAATATAGGAAAAACCGAGTTTTCGAAAACCTCTTGTTTTTTCTTCACTACAACTCTTTTCACTCGGTTTTTTGTGTATTCGATAGGTCTTGTTTCTGTCTATGATGTAGACAACGTCGCCGAGCTTACTTTTTTGCTTATGCTGGGTTTTTTTTGTAAAAATTACCAAAAAGTGCGTTTTTCTTTACCTTGTTCTTTTGCAATGCTTTTGCAACGAATTTTCTCCAGCTTGGACTTTACTTGCTCAGAATGATGAGCGGAAGAATCCAGACAACGTCGCAGGATACGAAACGACCATGCGGGGGTGAAAATTCAAAGGACGCGCCAAAAATCAGATTGGCGTCGATGTGCAGCATAACTTTTCAGACATGTTTAACATGTTCAGCTCAGTTGTTGACAAGTTCGCCTTCTTTCGGTTTTCCAACTACCGCCACAGCTAACGCTTTTTTTCAATTAGAAAAGAACTTTGTTCCTGTTGCCACCCAATTTAACCGGCAATTCTGAAGACAAAAATGTGCCTAGGAAACCACAAGATAAGGTTTTAGATTTTGTGATGTGTTAACCTCTGTTTTATATGAATTTTTCAAGTTTCCTGGTTCAATTCAGATCTCTAAATTTCCATCCATTTTTTCTAAAACAACCTTCACTTTTTATAGGGGGCAAGAACTCAAACAACTATCACTTTCTAGGCTCTGTCTCTTGACTATCGAAGGTATGGGGCTAAGAGTGGCGCGGCTTGCTAAGCAAGAGCTAAAAGTATTTTTCCTAAGTTATGAAGTATTATTTAAAGAATGCATTTTTTCATTACTTAACGTGATTGTACCCTGATCTACAATCTTTTATCATATCATGTTTTGAAATTAATCTCATTTTCACTTCAAACTGAAGGTTTTTGACTTGCCCTTCCAGAACTTTCTCCGTTTTATTCTTTAGTGCTTGAAAGCTCCACTAGGTATGCGAAAATTGTAAACAATTTTCTTGGCTTAATTCAACTTGATACTTTTCAAAAATGACTGCGCATTTGCAGTCACCATTAGATACTTTTCTTACCCCATCAAAGAGTATAAACCTTCGATCTCTGGATATCAATGTAAGGCAAAAGTGTGTTTTTCCATTAACACATTCATGACAAGGCCGATTTGATTACTGCCGTTCCGGACAGCCTTTCTCGCTTTGTCAAACTTACGACCCACCCGTGGGTCGTATTGTCCAAAATGGCAGAGCACGTACGATCCACCGATGGGTCGTACCTCTTGAATGTTCTAATGATATTCAATTATTTCGCAATTCAAGTTGCTGAAACCTAAAATGTTTTACGTATTCCTGGTCTCAAATCTTAGAAAAGAAGTCGCTCCGAAAAGTTGCGCAATTTTTATTCGAAACTGAAATCGGTATCTCGCGATCGTATCTTTGTTCACGCCAACCGGGGGCGAACAATTCCACTTAACGATACGTATCGGTATCCCTATTCATCATAGCGTTGCAAATCACTCTCACTGATCTCGCTTCCATATTTTCTCGCCTTATACGGCTAACTTTCACTTTTAGCTGACTATGAATGATCTCGCTGATTATGTGTTAGGTTATCAAGCAGTCATTGTCGTTGGTTTCCGTGAGGCATTGCAATGTAAATGACAAAAATCTCAATTAATTGCTCTAAAAATGAAGCTCAAAAATTAGAAAAAAAACCTACGCAAAATTTAGAATTATTTGGAGAATATTTAATGCGTTTGTTTTCCACACCAAAGACAAAATATTTGAAAATTGTGCTCAAGAAGATTGTCTCATTTACCAAAGTAGATGAAATATTTTGTACATGTTGAGGTCGTTGCAACTTGTGTGTGAGATTGCACATCGAACCCGGCATTTCACGACTACTTACTGATAGAGGCCGGTGAAAACTTTGCAAATAGTTAGCGATTATTCACACCCGATAATAAAAAAACAGAAACCAAAAAGAAAGATTGGAAAATTGAGTAGCTAGCACATCTGCGTAAAATACCACCCGGATTGTGCAATGAAAATATCAAATTACATACGGCTTTACTTTGGGCTCAAAGTTTAATGAAATCTTTTCAAAAATTCCAATTTTGCGCTGAGCCCAAAAGTTGCTTGGGTTGATCCCTTGCGCTCACAGCAAAATGTACGAAAGATTGGTTGTCTCTGCGCTGCCTTCCCCCCCCCCCCCACCCTTCTTTCCTCGCCAAAACTTTTCATTATAACTCAAGCTTCTAATCAGTCATCAATGACATAAGAGGATGCAGCGATTGAGCTGATTACCACATTTACGTCACATCCAACACCATCACTACCATCATCACCACACACCATCACCACCATAACCACTATCTTCACTTAACCATCATCATCACCAGCACCATCTCCACCATCACCACCATCACCGCTATCACCACAATCATCACCATACCATCATCACCACCATTACTACCATTATCACCATCATCATCATCAGCACCATCAAACCATCAAACCATCTCCACCATCACCACCATCACCACTGTCACCACAATCATCGCCATCCATCATCACCACAATCACCACCATTATCACCGTCATCACCATAACCACTACCACCACCATTACCACCATCACACTATCACCCTTAGCTCCACCATCACCGCCACCATCATCGCCATCATCACCATCACTAGCATCATCACCAAGAGGCCAATACTATCAAGATGGTAATATCTCGCCAAGTGAGCTTCCTCTTTCCTTTAGACCGCCCCTCCCCCCATCCTAAAGAATCCCCCCCCTCTCCCCTGAAGTTTTCAGCACCACTCAAGCTTCTCATCCGTCATTAATGACATAAGAGGATGCATCTGATCTGATCAAGCTGATTTCCCCACATACGTCACTTCCACCCCCACCATCACCAAGCATGTCCCATCCCTATCAATGTCCTGTTATCGGGGTCATCCGAAGTCGGTGATCGCTTTGCATAGTTCGGGGGGAGAGAAGAACCGCCATCGCTTGATGCATTAATCAGCATCGCTCATGTTTTTCCCTTTTACCACTGTGTGGGGGATTAGACAACTTTCTCGCCAACTCGTCCAGCAATCAGCTGAACTGGTTCCCTCTGGCTCGCTGATTCTCGGCACAACGCACACATTTTTTCTCGTCTTCTCGACCCTGTTAGAGTTATGACTCTGTTCATTACCAGATTGGAATTACGACATCCTTTTTCTGCTCGTAAATTATTTTCGGCCACTGGAGATTTCGCTTTGGATAAACAATTCGTTGCATCATTTGCGTTAGCGCAAGAGCTTTTTTACGATCTATGATGGTTATAATAAATTCTATTTGGTGATCTCCATTTCTGAAGCTTTTCCTACTTTCTTATACTTAGCTTTTTGCAAATCCTTTGATCCCTTTACCCTTCTTTGCTTGATTATTGAATAGTGTAAAGCCTGCTCCTCTATATTCATTTATGACCTCATCGAAATAACGGAATTTTGAACTCTTTATAAGAACTTTTCTCACTGAATTTTATCTTTTTTTTTACACTTTTCCCAAATGCAAGCTCCTCATCTCGCAGCTTCCCAAAACTTTGCTAATCTCAATTATTCCCCACATACTCTCTAACCAGTTTTGGTTCTTGATACATTGAACATCGTCAATGATACGTGCCCTAAATGGGTATAGATATCGCTCCGAATCAGTGTGTTGCTATCAATTTCAGTGTAACTAGAATTCCTGAAATCGTAACCCCAAGAGAAAAGTTATCAGAAAGCTATGAACAATTTCTGGTTCCAGAATGTTCTTTTTGATCATTACGTCAGAGAAAAGCAACTCTCCAATGCATTACTAGTAGCCGCAAATGTGCGGATAGATAACAATGAGAGCTTGATTGAAGTTTCAGGATGTTTTTCCAGATTTCATTCCTTTAACAAGGAATAAAAATCGAAGTTTGTTATTTTTAGATCCCTAAAGGCAGGGATCATGAAGCGATAGCGTGATGTGAGAAATAATTCTGCTTTAAGATTGTGGTGGTGATTTTTGTCATTTTTCCTTAAAATAACCTTCAAAAAATTTCTTCTTCTTTCCCCATTTCACTTCCTCTCCAAGGTTTGCTAGATTTTGATGCGTGAATTTGAAAAATGCTAATTTTGAAAATATGTTCTTCGAGATAGTAGTATTTCTCAACACCAGTCCACGTCTTAAGAGAATACATTGTCAATATCTGGTTACTCATTGTATTCCTACTACACTTAATATTCTATAATATGGCTCATTACTTAATAACCGTTCAGTCAAAGTTTTTCGCAGACAACTAAGAACTCAAGCAAAGGTTCAAAACTCTGAATTTGATGGAAAATTTCTCACGCAAACGGATTTTAAGCTGTAGGAAAGTGCATCAGCCTCGATCACTTTCAAGCTCCGTAAAATTAACCCCTTAGTCTAATTTGTCGCACTTATTAAGCATCGATGAGAGATCTTTCTCATCGATGCTTAACAAGTGTTCTGGAAAACACAGTTAAAACTGTGAAAGGAGCTTTGTGAGGTCTGTTTGGTATGACATGCACTCTACGAACTATCAGTTTGCAATAAAAGAGTCTGAGTCATATCTGTACGCAATGACTTTCCTGTTTGGAACATTAGCTTCCATAATTTGTTGATGCAATATATTGCCTTTTCTTCACTCTAAAATTTGTTATAGTTTTCAGTCTAGCGTCGCACTTTTCTTACGCGACTTCCGTGATGTGTAACTCATGGCGAGATATTTCCTCATAACCATTTAATTAAGTGCAGAAAATTTCAGGTATTGCTGAAATTTCTTTACTCACATTCACTATCTGGAGCTGAAAGAACGGTGATGAGAACGTTATGAGCTAGCTGAGCGCTTCGCTTACCTATGCAAAGTTTGAGAAATGCAATGGTCAGCCGACATTGCCGTATCGTGAGTATTGTTTGACTAACTTTAGACATAAAAAGATCTTTTTTGGAATTTTTTGACACCGTTTAGGGATTGCTGACGCTGTTTTCCTTATTTCTTCCCACTACATCTAACCCCATAGATAATGGATTAGTTGACTCAGAATTGATACATGGTAAGTGACCGTATTTGCACGATGAGCCTGAAAATTAAGTAAAAATTCATTTAGAGTGTGTAAGTAATAAATCTGTTGATCTCCTTCTTGTTCTTGATGGTTCCGGTTCCATTGGTGATGATACTTTTCGTAATCAGGTAGGGCTAAAGTTTCAGGCTCTTGTCGCACTAAAATGGGCGAAATTGAAGATTTCTGCAATTACAGATTGCCTTCGCTATGCATCTCGCACAACGGCTCAACATTTCCACTGAAGGTAGTCGAATGGCCGTCATACAGTATGCCGAAACTCCACGGCTAGAGTTTACCCTTAACCAGTACACTCACCCTACTCAGGTAACCTCTTCGCCGCTACAGCGCTTTGTCGCCAAATGACAAATGCGATGTTTCCAGCTCGAATGGGCAATCCAGCGGATAAATTTCCAGTCTGGTGCGACCAACACCGGTTTAGCGCTGAAATTAGCCTTGGAGCGCGGATTCGAGGGCGCCCGTGGTGGTGACATTCCACGAGTTGCTGTCGTGGTCACGGATGGGCAAAGTCAGGTTAGATCACGGATTTGGTTGGCTGGGGAATTTCGCTTTGGGATCAATCGAGATTTTGTTTTTGTTGCAATATCGGCGAGCCCCTTTCTCTCCCCCCCCCCCAATGCCTAGTTTTTTTCCCAATACTCTGATCTGTACTACAATTTTTTGCTCAAAAAGTTATAGAGTTAAGATCGTACCCCACTCAATTCCCAGAAATTATGCAAAAACCCGTGTTTTTCGATTGACCCCATTTATCCGCATAGGTGAATCGATTACGGAAAAGCGAAAACCGCTTTGTCCTAGTTGTTGTCGCTTTCTTATGTGGAACAATCTGCCCATAAAAATTTGGTAAATTAGATACGTAAGAGAGTTTAAGAGTTTCCAATTTATGAGATTTCTCACAATGGAAACCCAAGCTTCTGTAGAGATGCGAAAAACTGTGCAATTGATTTTTTGAGATTTTCAAAATAAAACTGTATTATTTTGTTTTTATAGGATGAAGTCGCTGAACAAGCACAGCTCTTACGAGATGCACATATCACAGTATATGCGATCGGAGTTACGAATCTCGTAAATGTCCATCAATTACATCAGGTACTTTGTTTTGACATTTTATCGTTTCGATATTTGGAAAATAGCAAACAAGTCGAGTCTAGTGCTAAACGCAAATGGCTCAAATTCCGTTTCGTTGCATCAAGAAACACGTTGCAACAAACGGAAAAGTGAAGCCCGATGCGGGGCTCGAACCCGCGACAGCCAGATTAAGAGTCTGGTGCTCTACCGACTGAGCTAACCGGGCTTGTTGACGTTCGCAAGTAAAGTCGCTGGCTAAGCACGGATTTCTGTGCATGTTGCGAATTTTATCTCAACAGCAAGCTCAATCAGACACACATCGTGTAAAACACATGCAGAACAAATAAAGCTGTAATTCTGGATTAGATAAAGTTTGCTGACATCATTTCCTGTTTTATCCCAAACAACACTTCAGTGAATCAATGAAAGAGTTGTGTATTGCCAGAAATGAATTTGTTTCAGGGACAGCTAAAACAATTATAAATAGTAGATTATAAAATGGTAGAAATTTTGCTTCAGAATGCTAACTTAATATGCGTAATGCACACCTTACACGTTAATTGACGAACTGCGAACCTAGAGCCTGCTCATTTCCAGTAATTTCAGAATGTTTCACAGAATTTCTAAAACATGTTTGTGCAACTTCCTTCCAGAAAAAATTTTGGGAAGGGTTTTGAGAAGAAACTTTGAAATCATCGATTTCAGCAGAAGACAGCAATAGCTTGTTAAAGTTTTTTTTCATTGATAATGATATTGATATTCTTACTTTCTAATGCCTCTCTTGTCAATTCTTGAATCGAATAAAAATTTGGTGTTGAGTTGTAATTTGTAAACACTGAATGGAAAATTTTTTTAAACATTCTCAAATTCTTTTACCATTTCAAAGTTGTAAAAGGGTTGTGGCCTTTGGTACATACATGTCTACCAAAAAAATACAATTTCTGAAAAGATTCTTTGGATAGTTATCGGCAGATGGCCAACTTGCATAAATGCAAAGCTCGAACTTCCAAATGCTTTTGTATTTAATTGTGCTGAGGCTCGCAAAGATACATAAAGATTTGAAAAGATGAAGAAAAGAGGATTTTCAAAAGGTGAAGAAAAATTGGAGGTTGAGCTTACAGAGTTATTTTTATATTTGTGTACTGAAATTCCCATAAAGGTACCAATAAAAAGCTAATAACCTTTCTGTCCTTTGAACGATGTTATGAGCTTTTCTAAAGGAAGATGAAAAAAGTGCGAAAAAACTTACGATACCGCACTTATGATGAAAATCACCCCTGCCAGAGTTCTCCGAACTTTGCATCATTGCCATATCTTGCTTCAAAGTGGACGAATTCTGGATCAAGAACATCATTTAATTTCTGCTAGTTTGATCGTTGTGCAGCGTGCAATGATTAAACACTCTGAGTAACCTATCGTGAGCAAAAATCTGAAAAGATCCGTAAATGACCAACTATCGTGGCCAAACAAAAACTCCAATATATCAAAAGATGCATCTCGTCAAGCTGAGTTGAATGGTGCTTTTTGAATTGGCGATGCAACGCGAAGTTCGGCGAACTCTGGCGGAGGGCGTGTTTTTCTTTTGACAAAGCGGAACTGTATGTTACGACATAGTTCGAAAATGCACCATTGTAATGAAAAATTACAGATCACAGGAAATCCGGTACGAGTTTTCACTGTCGAATCATTCGATCAGCTTGACAAATCCTTGGCAGACTCGCTCACTTGGGACATGTGCAAAACGGAATTTCGTGAGTCAGACCACTCCATTAAAAATTGACTAATCCAAATTGACGATGAAAATCCTTTTAGGACCTGGGACTCCTGACATCATCTGTGGTCCGGACAGAATTGGAGTCCGAGCATCGACAAAAAAACCATTTGACGGTTATGTCTTTGTCATGGATCATTTCCATGAGGAAGAGTGTCGTGCGGGTCCGGAAAAGTTTCCAGATTCGAAGAGCATCGGAATCACAGTACCATTCAATGTGTGCAACGTGCATAGATATCGATCGGTGATTAAAATTTCTTTCATGGAAGCATCACCAAAATTGCTTCTTTTTTTCAGCTAAATCCGCGTGGAATATTTGTGGAAATGACCGTAGTCTTTATGTTCCACACATTGTAAGTGGTTTTCTTTACAAGTTTGAAGAATGTGGAGCAGTTATTCAGGTTTATGACAAAAGTGGATCAAATGGTGAAAATTCAGTGCTTTTACATGGAAGCTGACAAGAAAGTTACCGTACCACTTTCTGTAAGGTACGTCCCTGGTTGGATCCTATAATTTGTTCACTCAAATCTTCTTCGTTCAGTATGATCACGACACAGTTCCGTGAAAAAATGTACCAGATGCCACAGTGTTCTTATACATTGCGTAAAGGTGGTCCAGAAGGTGAAATTGTGCGGTATGCCACGTTAGGAGAGAGTGTTTACCATAGGTAAGCTTTTTCGAGTAGTTTGAATAATTAGACTGCATTACTCGAATAGATTCCAAAGTTTTCAAAAATGTCCTGCATGAATTATAAAAGTATGCAAGCAAAATTTCTGATTAAAATGATTGAAACAACTTTTATTAGTTTAAATTAGCTGGTAGCGGTAGCCACGCCCCTCTTCTCAAAATTACGAGTTGTGCGCCTGCGAAAATATTAAAAGCATCCAAAGGAAATTTTTTAATGACTATTTGAATCTATGCCTTTTTCATTTCAAAACAACCTCCCCCCCCCCTTCCCCCTTTGAAATTTATCTCGGAACGCCAGTGCTACTTACATGTATTTGTTGAACCAACTTTGATTTTTTGCAGGTGGGAATGTGTCGAAGTGGAGAAAAAGGACACTTTCGGAATGCTGGTCCATTCATGCTACGTAGACAACGGACATGGAGACCGTGTGGACGTTCTGAATGAAAAGGGGCAAGGTTTTCCCCTGTACAGCTTCCTAAACAAGGACCATAGATTTTCGAAGACAAGCACTTTTGCAATGTATTCCTTTTTCTTAACTTCTTCCCCTGAATGACGCCACACAAATAAAGTGGTGGGGTAGAAAATAGAAGAAATTTTTCTGTCGTTCTTTTACACCCAACGGTTGATGGGTAAAAGTGAGCAGAACCCAGTGTTGAAGTTTTGATGGAATATTCTCAGATGCGGACTGGATGCCGTGCTTCTTTCAACACCAGATTATGAGAGTTCCTTGCGTCTGGCCACCAAACCATATCATGTCTTCAAATATGCTGATCGTCCTGTGCTCCAATTCCAGTGCCAAGTATGGAATTTAATCACTCTTATTCACTTACTCACTGCCACTTTTTCCTTTTCAAAAAGTAACGTTAAAAATTATTACGTCTAGATAACGCTATGCCTCAAATATGACGGAGGCTGTGATGGAATCACTCCACCGAAAACATGCCCATCATTACCAGGCGAAGCTGGTCATCATCATAACCACACGAGAAGACGAAAGGTAAACAAATTAGTACTATTGATGGATAAAAAAGAGAGCTTCTCTGATTCTCTAGAAAATAAAAATGTCTGACTTTTTTAGGTAAGAGAAATTGATGGAATAGGCACAATAGATGTGTTTACGGATTCGATAACAATTGTAGATCAACTGCCAACTTGTCCTGGAGCGGTAGGTTCCTTCCTTTTTTCTGAGGGGGGGGGGGAAGTATGGTTTCATTCTTAATTGAATATTTCAAATTCATGTATGAATTCAAAGCTGGATAATTTATGATCTTTCCTATTTCCAACAAAACCCTAAAGGCCGTAACTCCAGATAGAGCATGAAAGAGGCACGGCTTTTTTGACCCACTCGCCATAGCGCGCCTGTGATTGGTCAACAAGTCAACTGTGAATAGCCAGGTTTTGAGCAGGGCGGAGAAAGTGTGCAGCTGTGCGGACGAGTTGTGCAAGCATGCTTGTTCACTTTTGTGCATCTGTCATGTCTAACACGTCTAAAGATGTGAATAAACATGTACTACGTTTCAAGTCATGCTGCCGTTGACTTGGTAAACTCGTCCGCATCTTTATCTGCGCCGCTCGCGGCGACGCTAGCATCGCGCGCGAACAAATCAAGAGGGTCTGCACCTGTATGAAAAATTTGAATAGCGGAAAAATTGTTCAATATTTACACATTTCAGTCAACACTGATCAATTCTGCAATCGTTCTCGCCTTTACAATTGGAAATGTCATCATCTCCATTCTAACGATAATCATTTGGCTTTTTGTCTTTAGAAAACGACAAAAATCCGAAACATCTGAATAATATATAATAAGTTGTTTCATTTGAACTCAGATATTGCAAGTATTTTGCAACATGATTCTTGCATTTGTACTTGCTTAGAAGCATTATTACTAGTTCTCTGGAGCTTAGCTCAGCATTTTTGTTAAACTTCATCCGGAGTAGTTACTATATGAGAATTGTCTAGATGACAGTAAGTTATATAAAGATTTGTTCTTTCATTTGCTGGTAATGATGTATGCCTCATTTCTTGTGCAATATTGTGATGATTGCAATATTTTTGTCTACTTCCTTTTCTGCTTTATGTCTATGATGCATTACCAACGGAATTTTTATTGTTGTGGAAATAAAGAGTTTTCAACGAGACCTTTAACCCTCTTCCCCCTCCTTCCCCCCCCCTCTCTAAGCGTCTATTTCATATAAAGGTACTGTGGAGTGAGTCCTATATGTTTCCTTTGATCTTTACGTTTGAATACAATTCACAAGCACCTTTTTACAATATGAATCTGTGAGGCTAAAAGTTCTGAAATTCTCTAATTTTTGCCCTCCGCCCATGCCCCGCTTCTCCCCCCTCTCCTCTCCCTTCCCCCCTTCCTCGTTCTTCCCTTCCCTCATAAAGGTTGTAGTTTGGCATCGGAAATGGAAGCCAAATTTGAAAAATGAAGGGTGGGTGGGAGAGGGGGGGGAGGAGGGAGAGAGAAAGGGGCGTGAAGTTTGAATGTCTTCCCCTCTCTCCACTTCCCTCCCACCACTTCCGCCCCTCCCTCCACCTCACTTTGAGAGCTGAACCCGATTTACAATATTATAAACTAATCGATTCGCATCTCTTCTACGAAGTATTCTCATCTCCAGAATCACGGCACTGAATGGCGGGAGCATCTGTGATTCCAGCCTCCCTGGCCTCACACATTCAACCCGCCGACAAATCGCCGCAAATTTCGCTCCTTGTGAGGGCTTAGAAACGGAGAATTTTTAGCGCCGAATTTTTGCCGGGTATCAAAAATAAGCATTTTTAGGTGTTTGAATGAAGGATGCGGAAATAAGTTTATTAAATTATTGACAATAAAATTCTTCCAGCAAGAGAGCGTCTACGAAAACACAGCTGAAAATATAAATATTTTCAGGTAAACACATCGAATTACAGCAACATAGAAAATGCGGACTAAATACAAACTAGATCTACGGTTTACAAAACTAGCGAGAAAATTCTCAATTTTGATGAAACAGAAGTGAAGATAAAATGTGACTTTTCGAGATCTGTTAAATGTTCTTCATTTCACAAAAAATCGGTACCATATTTCAGTTCAAGAAAACGTTCAAATACTCTTCTGAACTATCTAAAATTTAACGAAAATAAGTGCTGAATTTGTGAATTTCTCTATAACATTACATCCGAAGAATGTCCATTTCCTATCGGAACATATTCGTGTTGGGACGCTCGACGTCGGTACGGCATCATCACTCGATGGAATTTCTGAAATTTGCAATTGATGGGCTATTTTATGCTTAATTCGCACGCTTTTACATCAGCTCTTAAACGTTATCAATTACAAAACTAAAAGTATTGGTGGCGGTGGTCTATTGTAGAATCACAGGGTATGGGTATTTGACCATTCATATGTAATAGTGTTTTCGACCCTCTCCGCTTTTTTGTCAATTTTTTCCGCCTCATGATTATTGCAGCTGCTTGGAGCACAATATATGTAACGATGCTTTTCTCTCGTCCGAGTCTGATCCATATCCTCGATACATAAAGCAATTACCCTGGTAACCCTCACTTTCAGCGCCATGAGAAAACACGACCTTCATCTGGAGGAGAAAACAGAGTCTATCCGGAGCTTCGCCCAGATGTTAAGATCATAACAACTCGAAATACCGGTAAATATGAATGAAGCAAATGTACAGAATAATATTCTTACAATATCGTAGCAAACGCGACTGCGTTTTTCTAGCTTTTCTTACGTAAGATAGAAGGTTTCCAAGAAATTTCTGACAGAGTTCGTAAGAACATTCCTTAAGCTTTAGAAGTTCGAGAAGGCTGTTGGAAAAACGAGGGAATGCGCTCAAATTTTACGCAGGAAGACGCCACGAATATACTGGCTCGCTGATGAGTGATTTTCAACGCTTGCGGTGTTGTCAGTACTCCTACCCGTGCCACGGCGATCAGATTGACGTATATTAATGCAGGGTTTGGTTGAAACCCCGTGGAGGTCTGCGACCGGAGCCAAATGCTTCGTCGTGTCTGGTCTTCTTCCCCTGCTTGTTTGCGTCTCCTTGCGTTGCGCGCTATCTCGCCACGGGGTACGGGGTATTTGGCTCTGGTAACCTTTCCTTCGTTGTTCTCAGTTTGTTATAGCGAACTATGAATCATATTAATTAAAGCTCTTGACCTCTACTTTCACGCTGACAACGTCGCAAAACTCCTTTTCTGATTTGAACCAGAAATCTAGTAAAAAACGTGTTTTCGAAAGTCTCTTGTTTATTCTCCAGTTTAGTTCTTCTTAAGCAGTTTTTCCGGGTATTCTATAGGATGTGCTTTTGTTCATAATGTAAACAACATCTCTACTTCACGCTGGCAACGTCGCAGAATCTCATTTATTTCTCGAATGAGAGATCTTTCCAAGGCTCTGCTTAGAAAAATCTTTTATTTTTTCGTTTTTTCTTCAACTCGTTCTCTATTAGTGGTTTCGCAGCGATTATTTCCAACTTGGGCGATTATTGCTCAGAATATTAAGCGCAACAATCCACAGTGTCAAACAGGAACGTCAATGCGGGGGTAAAAAAAAGAAGCATCAAAACCAGGTTGGCTTGGACGTGCCGACTTCGTAAAACAAGACTTTGCGTTTTAAACCAATTCCTCTCTTGTTTATCTTCTTACAAAACCTGCATTTTGAAATGCCGCCAAATGAAAGATTTCAAACTCGTTGCAGCATTTTCATTCCATATTCGAAGAGCTTCTTTTGCTTTTGCTTTTTCTAATTGCCTTGCACCTTTTTCTCTTCTATGATTTTCTATAAACAACCTTCATTTTTCAAGAGGGGAAAATATTTAAACAACCTTCCTTTTGAGGCCCTGTCTTTAGACCATCAAAGGTAGGTAAGAAAACTGTAATCATTCTTTTTCACTTCTCGTCTTTCTCTTCGGAGTTTACACGCTCACATCCTACGCATCTAACTTGCTATCTTAAATTCAGATTTTATGACTTACTTCCCGTACTGTGCCACCCTTAGCTGTGTAGAACTTGTAAAATCCAACAATAGGTATTGCAGATGCAGCAGACAGCGCGAAAAACACTCCAACCACATTTGCTAACGTGGAGAAATGATAATCCTGATAGGTTAATGGTTGATAGTTGATGAACGATGATAGGATCATCATCTGCAAATCGAATATAGAATAGGCACTTATTCGAAATTTATTCCGACCAGTAGAAAGATTGGCGCTAAAAGCATCCAGCAGATCTTCCAGTACCATCCAGGTTCAAATCCAAGCATCTCTTTCAGATCGTGCACAAATTGTTTTATGCCTATAATTATCATTTCTCTGTGATACAGCTATAATTTTTGTCTTGACCCACCATAGATGTAGGCAACAACCATAACTTCACAGAAAACCGCAATCAACAGGCCCCATGTGGTACCGTAGACGATTAACCATTCCATAATAAGTATTCCACCCTTGATTTACACATTCTCAAGACTCTTAAAAGTGCGAGAAAATAAACACTGACCTCTGTGCAAATAGCGAGTCCAACGAACATGTAGAATGTGAAAAGACATGCAATGAAGATCTCACGATTACGTTTGATTATGGGAAACTCGTCCGAGAGTGCAGTGATTATGGCTTCCGATCCGCCGAACTGGAATAGGATTAGTATAAAAAATGGCTCTTTGCAGTTTTTAGAGAGATGACGGAAAAGCAAAGCTTTTAGTGAAAGATTTGATAATTGCGTATTGTGAACAAAAGAAAATTTCTGGTGGCGCCGTGTCATGCCAAACCAGCTTTATTGGTGGTTCTCTTTATTAGTCCTGACAGTTATTTAAGACTGGGTAATAGGGCCAGAAGCCTCCTCGCATTTTGCCAGACCTCTTGACTTATCAAAGGCCCGTGTAAACCCCTTTCAGCTGAGTTGACGTGAGATGAGTCATTCAGAAAAACTTTCTAGAGTGAACCTAATCTCGCCTATCTCTCCGTGTTTTAAGATAGTCAGTTCAACAATCAGAAGATTGTCCGGTCGAGTGTCACAGTCAGTTTGACAGAATGCTTGAATTTCAGGGTGACCCGAGAGAGATGGTGTGCAAAAGAGGAGAACCAGACAAATTTCCGTAAGCTGCTCGTGAGTAACTTACGGCTATTATTGCGAAAGCTGAACTATTAATGCGGTGCAAGAATGCGCAACATTGCACAACTTCGGAGCCTAAATGGGAGAAGATCGACGATCGTCGATAGTCAGTTCAACAGTCAGAAGATTGTCCGGTCAAGTGTGATTGCGGATTGCGGCGAGGAAGTAGAGAAAAGGTTGGTTTTTGTTTTTTCTTGCACTTCTCGCTTGATTTTTTCGAAAAACGCTTTGAATGCAGAGAATGGTTTATCTTCCTATTTGCTCTTCGAAACTTGTGATTTTTTGCCAGTATGCCTTCCAAAATGTTGTGAACTTGTTTTATATCTTCGTTTTCTGCGCGATATCTCTGATGGCGGCCATCAAATTCTCGACAGCTATCGCTATCAAAGCCTGTCCGGCAGCGCAGAAAAATTGCAACCACTGGCAGGTCTCGAATCTTGGCCGCATTCTTGGAATCCCAGTGACTTAGCCCTTCGACCGAGCATGCTCGAGTAGTTGTATTCTCGAGAACGCTGATGAGTGTCATGTCCAGAAGGCGATCCGTATCCAGATCGATAGCTCACTGGATGCCCGACTGACTCCTTCTATGTTTAACGTAGGCCCGCCCCCAAGCCGAGTTGCACTGAACAAGGGTTTAAACGGGACAAAGACTAGCAGCACGACACCATGAACGGTGAAGAAACGAGCCGGATTTGAGCCTATCGCATTCGAGTAGCCGCACAGTTTGGTAACAGACGTCACTGAGATCACCGGTGGGTCAAGACTACTGTGTGCGGCTACTGTTGGATTGCAGAAAGATAATTACAGCAGAAGGTTATTGCTCATTGACACACAGTCATTTCTTCAGATCATTCTTGATTTCCTTCAAAAATCCACGTTGCTTCAATTTCTCGCTCATACCTCAGTAGGTAAAACGGTGCATTTCACTCCGTAATCACTTCCACCGTGCGTCTCATTAACCGTCTACCCTTAGCAATCTGTAGCTCAAATACACTAATTGATAGACATGCCTGAATTCGCACAGCACGCACAGCAATGCATTGTCTGCCCTCTATGAGGGCAGGCAATGCATTGCTCCAGAAGCATTCGCTGTTATTTAGGCTACTCCGCACTGACTACTTCTTCATTCATACGAGATATCCACAAGCATGACACATCACGTTGCGGTTGACGTCGGTGTGCATCGTCTAGTCGCCGCACTAACTCAACGGAAGGCAAAGAGATATCTTACTTTTCGCTTCGCTCATAATATTCGCTTCAGGATGCGAGTAAGTTTTGTAGTGGGTCCCTGTTCCACATGACCGGTACTGTATGCAATTTTCGATGCAGGTTTTCGTGTTTTGAGCCATTCCTCGTTGCCCGTTTACAAAAACGCAAGCAGTTTTTATCATGTTCTAAACGTCAACTCGTTTCCTTGCTGCGGGTAGCAATACATTCTTAAAAGGTTTCTTCTTGATGCTAGCTTGATGTACTGAGACTACTGGTTCAAGATATTAGAACACTCATCAATTTTTGTCATCACCCAGCTGATGCAATAACATACATCAAAAGCGGGCGCGCGATACTGGCTCTTCAGTCGTAACATACCGCGAGGATATACGCTAAAGTTGACCCATCGCAAGTCCTCGTATCTGAGATTAGTAACACCTAGACCTCAAAGATGTTACGTTTCATGCCTTGTTGAGTAAGGACTAATATCTCAGTTTCTCAGTCCAAGGCTACTTATGTTGTTGATGTGCTTATCCAACAACCCTGAAAGAGCGTGCAGAGCGTCTTCGTTGAACATTGGTGTACAGAGATGAAAACAAATGACTTCGCAGTAGCGCCCAGTTCAAACTTTGTATTTCGCAGATGCTAGGAATTTATGAATGCTGGTATCCTATCGAATCTTTGATAGAATCTATTTTTGATTGCTGGAATCATATTCGTTCTCAATTCAAACTGAAATTGTAAAAAAAATCTTTGGTTCCCGCCATTCCCTCCTTTCTCAAAATTTCGGAGGCTATAAGATCGTCAAATTCTATCAAAAGATTCTGAGGTGCCTTGAAAGATCGTCAGCGATTTTCATTCATAATGATGCAGCTAGATATTTTGTACTGATTTATTTCAAATATCTTTTCCACTACAACTCCCATTTGTAGGGACAAGATCGCTTAGTTGTCTCCAAAAAATCTATCAGCAGGAAAGCCACTGCCAAAGCACAACCTCTGGCAAACCACGCCTGTATAAACTCACCGAGCTATCCAAACCCAAGGTCATCAGCATCAGAAAAAATAGCACAGACCATCCGGGTGCCCAAGGCATTGTTGCTAGTGCTTCTGGGTAGACTACAAAGACAAGACCAGGCCCTTCCTGGGCTACGGCATCAATAGGTTTTCCACTTTTGCAAGACATATAGCCGAGGACCTCAACAATAGCTGCATTATATTTTTTGCATGTTTTACACTGTTTTTCACCGAAAAGATAACAAATCCAGATAGGAAGCTGGTTCCACAGTTGATTGCACTCGTGATCAGGGCATCACTATAAGTGGGAATTCAAACAGGGATTATCCAATGACATTCCTTCGATCGAAAACCTACATGTAAACGTTGTTGTTGAAGTCATTGTATGAAGAATAAGCCATCAAAACACCAAAGCCGGGTCCGAGGGAGAAGAAAACTTGTGTGGCCGCGTCTTGCCAAACAGAAGGTTCCTAAATGCAGTGAAGAAAATCATAAATGCTTTTTTACAGTCTGTTTCAACCAGAAGTAGGTGAAACACTTCACGTAGAGCAGTGCGTTCGCCTCCTGGAGGCTCTGCGAGCGTCCAGCGCTAACATTTTGTAAAACTAAGACTTAAGAAATGAAGAGACGCAGTCATGGGTTCTTAGCAGATATGTTACACTGTAGCTGCAAAACGGCGCGAACCGTTTAGTGATGGACTCCCGCCAATCCAATCCCCGCCTATACTGGATCAAATTGATGTACATTGACTGTAATTAGTCAATCGTTTTCAGATAGCCCACTACCAATTTTGTTTACGTAGCTGAGCTAACAAACAAAAAAAAACTATGCCAAGAACCATTGGCGGCTGAGCTGGTGATTTCATATACCTTAAGCATCTTGATGTTCGGTTTGAGATAGTATTCAATGCCCAGAGAAGATCCGGGCAAAGTGATGCCGCGAATGAACAGCACGCCCAAAACGACGTAAGGAAACAGAGCAGTAAACCATACCACCTGAAATCAGCACTCATCAAACTACTTGACGACGATTACTATAATCGATCCAATAACGCACCTTTCCACTCATTCCAATGCCTTTCCACAGCGAAAAATAACATATCAGGTACACAAGAGCCAAACATATCTGGGATATTCGGTCTGTATGCTATGGACTCTATGAAATGTAATTATCTAATTTTTCTCAGGCTGAAAAAAAATGATTGATAAGGCAGTGGGTGTGCTTTTTGCGTCTAGAATGACAAAACTAGGCACAAGGTGTCATCGATGTTTGAGAAGAATTTTTTTGCCAATAATGCAAAAAAACTATGCCGAAAATCAATCAAAACCTGCGCTTGCGAAAAATCTGCGAAAAAATGTTGCTTAAAGCAATGAAACACTGCTCTGCACACTAAAGCATAGTCAGAACCATTGATATCTGAGTATTGAGCTTGAACGTAACTGAGGCAGGTTATCCTAGAATTACTAGATTGATTGCGCTCTTCCTCAGAGATGTTTCGAGGTGTGAAACAAGGAATTCGAGGAACTTTTCGCTATGTGGTGTGTGAATGAACTACATGCACGTGCGAGTAGAATACATTTCACTTTTCTTCTCATTGTCTCACCGTGCCATCCATCGTGCCATCCATATGAGCACTGAACTTCTTTTGAAATCTCCAAGAGAATGTTCTCAATTATGTAGTGATCAGGGCATGACACAGGTGGCTTTTCCAAGCAAGCTTTTCCAAGCAAGCTGGGTGTCGCTCTTTTGGGAGAAAAAGCAAAGGAGATGTCGTTTTTTGCGGAATAGCATGCCGCTGTTTTTCGATATGAGGTCCGCGTGCCGCCGGCTACTGCGGCGTACTGGCGGCTTGCTCGGCATACTGGCGGCTTGCTCTCCCAAACAAACAAAGGACTTGTTATAGCGAAGTGGAAATGAACTGACACCAAAAATTGATGTGTAAATGGGCAATGAGGAATTAGGACTATGTATGAAAAATTAGTCTATGTGAACTGACTGCGTGCTCACTTTTTTCGGAGTTAGGTGGCTTTCAAGCCAGCTGGAAGCAGCCTGAGGTGGCTTGGGAGAGAAAAGCCCTAAATTTTCCCTCCCTCACATAATTTTTCTGCCTCCTTTACATCAATTTCATCTACATCCTAAACCCTACAATTTGGTTCTTAAACCGCTTCAAACCCCTCCTTCCCGCTTAGTTACAGCCCCCTGAAAGGAATCGGCGGCAGCATTGGTCCAAGCGCGTAGTGCTGCGCGCCTTATACATTGGCCCGTATTAAACCCCACTTCACTTCAGATAATCTCAACTGAGGGACTGAGTTGAGGTATTTAAGACAAAAACTGACTAGCGGTCACTCTCACATGCTTAAGAATGCGACCTGATCTGAAGGGTTAGCGTCAGGGCATGTGCCGCGATGAATTCACCTGAAATCCGTAAGAGCAGCCTCGATTTTGAGATGAATTGACCGAAATAGTGTGCAAGGGATGAGACGCAGAGAAAAATCCCGTAAGTTGCTCGTGAGTAACTTACGGGACATCGTACTTGACGTAATGTTGCAGTACAAGAACGCGCAAAACTGCGCAATACCGGTGCCCTAAAAGGAAAGGATCAATGGACAGCTGATTTCGTCAAAAAACAGAAGAATAGGTTTTTTCCTTTTTGCAGAGTTTGCTTAGGTTTTTTCTACAAAAGCTACTCAGAGCGACAATCTCTTTATTTCCATTCGATTTTATCCCCACTTCCTCAATTTTGGATGAAATTTTGGTTAAAAAGACACAGTTTTGTTTTGTGCATTCATTTGGTTTGTGGATTCCTTGGTAGCGGCCTCATCGATCTTCTTCGATAGTGGCCGCTATCAAAGATTGCTCAGTTGCGCAAAAATTCGCCACTGTTCGGTGCCGAACCACGGTCGTGCGGGCTGAGTACCAGTCACATACCTGTTTGACCAAACCTGCACAAGAGTTGTAGGTGTTTCCTCTTCGATAGCGCGCAAGATTTTTATGCCTGAAAAGCGATCCGCATCTAAATCAATAGCTCGCGGGACCGGGGCGCCATACGATCAAATCAGGTCCGTCTCAGATCCCCTGGAGGGAGGTTTACTACGGGCCATTATGACACCAATCCGGAAGATACGAATATCATCGCGTTTGTTAGATGCTTCTTTGGCTTTTTTTGTTTTGTTTTGTTCCGCTTCTTTTCATGTGTTTTCCTTTCTAATATCTATGGCGGATGTCGTACTTTGATAGTGAGTCAAAGGGACCTCGTTTTTTGCAATTTTGGGATCCCTCGTGCCGGGCCCTCATGGTAATACTGCTTGTTTCTAATCATTTAGGTTGCAAAACGATCAATCGTGCAGAACACAAACGCAAATGCAAGAATTCGATCCCATAATCAAAGTTTAAAGGATGAAGGAGCAGCGGGTAAGAATGAAGAATTTACTGCAAGACCTATTTCGCCCGCTCTTGCATAGGTGGCACCATAAGAACTAAAGATTAGAAACTACTACCGAAACAATTCTGTTGACCTCAATAGCACTAAGAGCTCAGATTAGCATTTGTCAAACCAAATAAAGGTGAGCCTCGAGCTTATCTCATGCTTAGAATAGCAAATGGACAAATCCGAGAGACTATAACAACCATGAAAGAAAGTGAATATTTTTGCGGTCCAGTAAAAGTGTGCTCTTTGATGACGGAGATTTTAGAATGAAGACGTTGGATTATAAAGCAATTAATTAGCTGTTGGATGGAACTGTGATTTTCAAAATTTATGATAGGGAAGAAAGGAGGGATGATTAATGAAAGGGTAACTTTTTAAGCAAGACATATTTGCAACTTGTTTTCTATTTGTTCAACATATTGAGTAGAGTCAACTTTGCAAGAAACAAGAATTACCACAATGTGCCAGTTCATGCCTCCCAAGTTGTCCAGTCCTCTTGCCACATGTGATGTAGTATCACCCGGTGCATGAAGTCCCAAAAACCCCTTGCTGAAAAATACGTGTGTTTAGAGTTTTCTCCTTGAAGCCTTCCACGCTTACTAAAAATACTCTTCTGCAGCTGAGATTCGCGATGACTCATCTAATGTTGGCGGGCGGCATTCAGACGATCCGTCACTCCAGCTGAAAATCTATCGTGAAATTCTGTAGAAGAAAAGCTCGTCTCACCTTGGCTCATAGCATGCAGGACTATTGTACGAGTTGTTGCAGCTGGCCCAGGGTAAGTTTATCGTAAATGAGGCATACAAGTAATGTAAACCCCAAGCGATGACAACATTATAGAAGAAGTCCGTGTAGAAAGCGATCAAAATTACGCAGTACCCAATGCCTTGAAGTAGAAATCGTTTGAAAATGTTTATAATAAGAGAATGATGTTTCGTTCTTATACAAGTTCAAAGCTCGAGCTCATTTTCTACCATAAATCTGATGACACACTCCAGCCCCACAACATGTATAATCTTTATAAGAAAAAAAACTTTTTGACTGAAATCGTTCACTGACCTTTGAACATAGGACAAACACGACCCCATGTAGTTATTGCACCTTTACGGTAGTATTGACCTAATGAGAGTTCCATATAGAAAAGCGGAATACCAGCCAGTAGCACCATCATCGTGTACGGTATCAAAAACACCCCTGTAATCAATTCATATCATAGATTATAGATCAGAGGTAAATGCTCCATACTAAAGTGGTGCCATCTCTGTTTACTACTGTGAAAGAACATTCTACCAGAGAATATTTGTTTTCATGCTACTGGTAACAGCTTCGCTTACGCCACAGAGCTGCAAAGCGCATGAGGCGCAGGATTTACAGCGGTAAAGGTATTCCGTGCCGTTCGTGCCTGCTCAATTAGTAATGCTTCTGCGCCTTCGTCATGCAGTAGCCTTTACAATATCGACATGTTTGGATCAAAGAAGGGAAAACTTGGAAATGGGTCCCAGTAATTTCTACGGAGGTGGTATATTACTTTATGTTCAAGCGTTTTTTTTTCTTTGTATGTTCGAAGGCATGAGAGTTGTGAGATCCGAAAGCATAAGTAACAGAAGCAAGTGTCATTTAAACGTTCAAATGTAAACGATAAAAGGATAAATGGAACGTTGTATGGAGCTGCAGCATATACCAACACATAAAGAATGGCCTGTAAGTTCAAGTCAATGAGGTAGTGAGAGTTCAAATCAATGAATCGAAAGAAAAAATATAAGAAGGATTGAATCCTACCTCCTCCATTTTTGAAGCATAAATATGGAAATCGCCATATATTAGCTAGATCAACTGCGAAACCGATGACCGATAGAAGAAAGTCCACCTAAAATATTAATCTGGGATAAGCTGTGTATAAATAAAATTAAATCATAGTTGTCTATAACAGCTTTAGAGAGCCTAGTTGGTGGAAAATTTGTATATGTGCGATTCACCTTTGTTGACCAGGTTTCCCTCTCATCTGCCTTCAAGGTGAGAGTCGTAGTAACGACTGTGTCTTTTGCCACTCCATTCGAATGCAGCTCATCTTCCAAATCATCTGCAATTTTCAGAATTAGGACTGGACAGTGTTCTGTGATTTTTGGCCCAAGACTTGTGCCTAATAATTAAGTTACAGCTGCCTACACTGTCCACGCAGCTAAAACCCTTTACGCAAAAAAGCAAAAAAAACTTATTTGCAGCATTTGCTATTCCTAATGGTTTGAAAATTTAAGAAAAGAACGACTTCGCTATTTACTTTATCTTTCTCGATATTTGAAGAATTTGGGAGTACTATCGAAAAGTGAAGGGCCCAATGAATAGAAACACGCTGTTCAAAGGAAATGTAATGGAGATGGAACATAATCTGCTCCATCTGATGTGCATACAATACGAGAGTTCTTCAAAGTATTCTAAGGGGAGAGTTGTGCTTTTCTTGTGCGCTTCTTTTATCTTACAAGGGAAAGTTCCCAAGTCAGCTCGGCCAACCCGAATGAGTCATATATCACCGTAACGGGTTTGATACGCTGATTCCAAATCTGCTTTCCCTCTCTGCGGAGCAACTTCCCGAGTGAAGTTATAAGCGTTTAAATGTCTAAATTTGTCATGTTCAAAGTGGCTTAAAATCAGTTGAAAGCTGTAAAACAACACCTAACAAAATTTCATTGTCTGTGTTCCGTCCTTGTAATCAATATACTTAATACAAAACTGACAAATCACTTTTATGTGTTACTGTACAGGTTTCGCCAATCTTAAGCCATTTAAAACATGACAAAATTAGACTTTTAAACGCTCATAACTTCTCTCCGAAGGTCGCTCCGCAGAAAAGAAAAGCAGATTTGGAATCAGCGTTTCAAGCCCGTTACGGTGATATATGACTCATCCGGGTTGGCCGAGCTGACTTGGGAACTCTTCCTCGTTAGATTACTTTTATCTCTGTTGAAACTGAAGGGCTAGAAAATGTTTTTTAGAAAAATATGTAAGTCTAATTAGTCTAATGCTTTCTTGAAATGATTTTTATTCAAGAATTAACGAAAATGGTTGCTATCTTTGGTCAACTCCAAAGGGATAAGTGGTATGCTTGTCAAGCTAAAGGAAATGGTAAGAGCAAAAGAGAAATTGTGTGGCACACAAGACTAAGCTTCCAGTAGAATCACGTACATTTACTGTATGCATTTCCTATGTATTATATTGTGTAATCTACAGAGAAGCTTCAGCATGCGTTGATGCCTTGTTAAGACCTGAGGGTTCCCGATATTGAGCCACCTAGTAGTCGTCATTTCCAGACATGGTTACTATACTGAAATAGCAACATCTTTTTACTCATTACAAAGCACTGCATCCTATTTGCCCCTTACATAACATTCTGCTTCAAATAACTATTAAACTGTGAATTAGGAGCCAGCCAGAATCTCGTTTGTCCCATTTTCCGCTCGCAGTGGTTGTGCTTCCAGCAATCATTGCTCAAACGAAAGAAGACGAATTCGCCTCTAATCACTCCCACAAAAACTACGAGGTTTTAGCTATCAAACTGTCTATAGTCTGTTCCCTAATTTCTTTGGAGGTAAATTAAAGGCATTGTCCAGGTCAACTTAGGGGTATTGGGATCTTGACATATGTGAGAGCACGGCTCCTGGTTAACGCAACAGTTCAAGTGCGATCGAAAAAGATGGAATCTGAAGCGAAAAATCGCTTCGGACGAGTTTGCAAAAAAGAGGGCCGTGCTTTAATCCCGCCCTCTTGACAAGTTTTGACGTGGCGAATGCTCAAGATCTAGTGTGCTGGCCACGTCAAAACTTGTCAAGGAGGCGGAATTGGACACAGGTGCGATAGTGTGAGAATTTTCTCACTCCCTCTTCACCCATGACCCGGAACCAAGGTGATCCTCTTCACCAAAAGCCGAGAAAAAATCAACAGTGAGGTAAAATTAAGCAAAGGAGATATTTGTACGTGAATTGTTTATGTATAGGAAAGGAGGAGTCTGTTAAAAAGTGCTTGGTGACGGGTGTGAGTAGTGATTTCTGGACATTTTCGAGTTCTTATCATTAAAAAAATTCATAACTTCTGTAGGTGAACATCTTGTACGTCGAGATGGTCATCATGAAACTGCTCGTTTTCCGCTTTCAGAAAATATATATTGTACATTGCCTGGGATCCATTAAAAAAAGTGCCTGGGTGAAGGGTGTCCTAGTGATTTCTGGACATTTTCGAGTTCTTATCATTAAAAAAATTCATAACTATGTAGGTGAACATCTTGTACGCCGTAATGGTAACCATTGGATCCGCCTCATCCTCCGCTTTCGGAATACATATACTTTGCCTGGGGTTCGTTAGAAAAAGTGCCGGGTGAAGGGTGGGTGAGACTTTTATAATGGGAGTGCTCAAGTACAGGCTTTTTTACCATTGTAAAAAGACGTAAACAAAAACGAGGCCGTTCCATTGGTGACCATCTCGGCGTGCAAGATGTTCATGTACAGAAGTTATGATTTTTTTTTAATGATAAAAACTCGAAAATGTCCAGAAATCACTGAGCACACCCTTCTCCCAGGCAGTTTTTGGACGGATCTGAGGCACACTGTATATCATTTGAAAACGGAGGACGACGCGTTTATTCTTAAAAATTGGAAAATACCCAACATTATTGATTCAATGCCTATATGCCTGAATATTGAGGAGAAAAAACCTTGCACAAAAATCTAATGTTGCAGTTTTTACATACATTTTTTATCAAAAATAATTTCATCGTCATACATTTTTTGACAACAATATGAGTCTTGTTTGTTTTTTACACATGCGGCCAAGCTTTGCTTGATTTCACATAGCTAATTCTCATAAAGTAGAAGAAAAATAGGTTTGAAAAGATTTTCGATTAACAACTTCGAGCATGTAAGTTAGATATTCGTTGAGGGCTCACTGGAAATTTCTAGCTTATTCGTGGATTTTCTGAGATTGGGAACAAACAAACAAGTTTTATACCAAAGGGGGTTCAAGGGAAAGGAGACAGGGGTTAAGGGGTGGGTAAGAAATAAATTTCATGGAAATTATATTGTCAATGAATTATACTATTTCAAAGACTGCTTTTCTAGTTTCAACTCATTTAGATGAAAGTAAAAACTTACATCCAAGCAAACAAATTTTCGTATGAAGAAGAAATTGGGACCACCACTTCCTCCCCCCCCCCCCCCCCCCCACTCCGGTCGACATTTTTGATTTCTTGATCAACTGAAGCACCCTTCACCCAGAGGGGCTGCGATCGCTGTGACCCCCTTCACCCTGGAGGGGTCATTCTCTTATCACACCTGTGACTGGAGTACCGCCCCCTTTGCAAACTCATCCGAAGCGATTTTCTCGCTACAGATTCCACTTTTTTCGATCGCACTTGAACTGTTGCGTTAGTCAGGAGCCGTGCTCTCACACTGTGTCAACATCTCAATACCCCCAAGTTGACCTGAACAATGCCTTTAACTGGATGTGGCACAAACTCAGAAAAGCTGTGGCCGCCGCACCTTTCTAGGGGTTGTGCCACACCCCATCAACTTACTTTAGAGCCATTTTATCTGCGTTTTTCATAACCGTTTCTTCTAGGAAAAGATATAGTCGTTTTCCTTATCTATGCAAGTGGAAATTACTGCGAAGATATCGAGTTACGGTAACATGCTCAGTCTATGCTATTACGTGAATCGTGAGGGAAGGCAACAAGAATGCATATATTTGATAGTCTAAGGGCCGCATGCACTAACCTCCCCGCTGGGGAGGGGATCGCAGCTCAAAAGAAAGCTTTATATTTCGAAACTCCAGATACCTGAATTTCATGTTGTGTACCTATCCGTAAGTATTCCTACTACCCTTCACTATGAACATGTTGAAGAGGAGCGAGAAGCTGTACGAACCGCATTTTCCAGCTTTTTTTATGATCCCTGATGATCTCTGGCGCTTTTCTTTAAAATCATTTTTCTTTCTCCGAAGTTAACGAAAAACCTCCAAAGTTGTGCAGATTATCCAACCCGACAGTGCTAAGCATGTTCGTGATAAGAACAAATGATGTTTTGAAGTCATGAAATTTTCGATGATCAAGAGTCGAAATTTGAGTTTTACCGAAAATTTCGACTTTTCAAAAACTCATTTGTTCTCATCAGCAACATGCTTAGCACT